CCTTTTAGAGTTTATGGTGTGTATGGCATGTTTGTAGTTACTGTGCATAAGGCCGATACGGCCCCCTCACCCCCCCCCCCCCCTCCCGCCCAGAAAATGGTAGCCCGTCTGTCGCAAATCCTGGTAGACCCCTCCTCCGCGGCAAATCCTGGCTTTTCGCCGGGCTGCTCGCCTTCATTCCAAAACGCTCGCATTGGCGGGCTCGACCTGCATCGAACGGTCGACTGGCTGCTTTTTTGTCATCATTAACTTAATCCGGGAGGTCGCTCTCGGGCGGATGACAGTGTCGTAGCAACAGACAGCACGAACATGATTCAACTTACTGCGCACTGTCTGCAGTCCTGTCTTGCTGTAGGGACCGGAGGGAAAATTATCTCATGACCCATGATTAGATGATTAATACAAAGTATAATCCGCCGTCGATGTCGGGATAGAAGATGCTGGTGATTGATGGCATTTTAGCTCGGCGTCTGGATTTACCCTAACAATAAATATTGTTTAATGTGAATAAGTCGGGGTGTCGAAAGTGTAGTGGTTAACGCGTCTGCGTTAACCAGTGCGCGTCTGGGAAACCAGAGGTACGGGATTCGATTCCCCGCGGTGCCCGCCCTTCCTGCCAGGGTGAGAGGCAGGCGACGCCATAAAGCCTCAGCAGCTGAGTGCGTCGTAAACCCCCAACGATACACAATGTGAAGAAGTCAGCGCTTGTGACTAGAAAAGCCGGCCAGATGCAAAAATATTCGATGGCATGAAACCTTGCGTACTGGTTGGTGAGTTCAGGTGTAGCGAGTAAGAGGAAGGTTTGGATAGCATTTGGCCTGGACCACACATAGTACCTTCGCCTATAGTATCGTCTCCTACCGTATTGTATCGTATATTATATCGTCTTCTACCGTACCTGCGTTCAAGTTTGGGAACAGGGGGGAGGGGAGCCACGTTGTGGTCGTAATGGGATTAACACGATCCTAGTAATTCACCGATGTGGCTTGGTTTCAAGCCGACTATGTCAATCTGAAGCTCGATACAAATGTGAAGGATGACCTCCAATAGGAATTGACAAATGATGATACAAGATTACAATGAACACACAAATGGTACACAAATGATGGAGAACATATCACCCTATATAAATGTGAAGATGGCCTCCAATAGGGATTTATAAATGATGATAAAAGGTGACAGTGAATACACAAATGATACACAAATGATGGCGAACATATTACCTGATACAACTGTGAAAGATGGCCTCCAATAGGAATTGACATAGCCATTTCACACTCGAAGGTAGCGGGCTGTGAAGAGTTTAGGAGATCTGCAGCCGCCGGAAGGTGCCCTAAGTCAACTGTGTCCATGGTCAAGAGAACTAGTAGCGTGAAGCATAGGAAGAGGGCATGTTTCAATTTCTCGGACAGCTCCGCATTGTTCCATGATTGTTTTTTGATTTGACTCGATGCTAATGCTTCAGATTGTTTATTGCCACAAAAGGGAGTGATCATAGTCAGACCATACCTCTTTTTCCGATTAACGACATCATTTTTTTTTAGCAACCGCAAAAAGTGAGATAAATAAGATAGGCGATACAACATCGGAACATTAGAGGACTTGATACCGACGCATGTCCATGTCCATTTTTCTCCGAGCGGCATGTAAAATCGGTTGGAACCGAATCTGGCGTTTCACGTAGCCACATAGATTACATCCACGGTGACCCGATGGATGGGATCAGTGGTCTTGAATTTAGGAATTTTTAAAAAATAATTCGTTTTTAGACAATAAGTCATTTTCAGCAATATACCTGGTCAGGAGCTTCAGCGTCTCCCACGGGGATCAGCGTGGAAATTCGCGACGCTCCATAACCTGAGATGAATGCGTCGTTGACCCCAAGAGCAAACCGTAACGATGAAGTGCTACATATGTGCCGTCACGACCTCGACAGCCCTGTTTTGTTCCATTGGGCCCATCTCTCCTCAGGGCGCACTTCTGGGTTTACCAATGCAGGTCCAGTCCGTCTCGCTCCCGAGGACGCATTTCCTTGTTTACCAATAGGAATCCAGTCCGTCTCACTCCCGAGGACGCAATTCCGTGTTTACCAATGCAGGTCCAGTCCGTCTCACTCCCGAGGACGCACTTCCGTGTTTGCCAATGCAGGCCCAGTCCGTCTCACTCCCGAGGTCCGAGCACGCACTTCTGTGTTTACCAATGCAGGTCTTGTCCGTCTCACTCCCGAGGACGCACTCTGGTGTTTACCAATCCAGGATCGGTGCGGACACGGTGCCGGCGCCGATCATTTCTATCATGGAGTCTGCGCAGCCAGCGTGGACGCGCGATGTGTCCAGCCATCCGGCCACGACCAGTGCTGAGATGAAACGCTAGGTGCGAACGCAGCACAACCCGGGGGCTGCGGGGGACAGTTGAATAAGATGCCGGAACAGACGCTGCCTCGTCTGCGTTTTCCCCCGTCGGGTTTTTCACGAGAGATAGTGTACCTTATGGTGCGATGAGATGATCACAACTTAAAAGATGTGCTCTGCAGGCACGCCGACAGATGCTGCGCAGAGCTGATGTGTGGGCCGTGCCTCACAGTGAGCATCACTGTTGGCCAGCCGCGTACCCCGGTCGGGAACTTGCGATCATGTTTGGGGCAAGCAAATACACCTGGATCCACATTTATTGTCACGGTGGGGTTGATGTCGTTGCTCCCAACGTTTACAGGCTCCATGCTCCCCTTCCCCTTCCCCTTCCCCTCCTCCCCCATGTCCAAGGCTCTTGCATATTTTATTGACATCACGGAGGGACGGCACAATCCACCCTCCCCGCTGTCGGCGCGTGGCCTCCGCGGGTCGCCACGTGTCTGGTGTGGTGTGGGCGCGTCTGACCCTGCTGCGGCCTTGGCGGCCGGCCCGTTGGCGGCACGGTTCGTGCAGAAACCTGTGACGGAGCCCGCCCGCGCCGCCGCGGAGCCAGCAGCACCCAGTCACGCTGTACGTACGGGCGGCACATGACCGGTGCGGCCGCCGCCCGCTGAGTGCGGCGTTGTGAGCTCGCGGGGTGTGGAAACTCGGACCGATCCCGACCCTGCGACCCCGGGCCAGTGCGTAACCTCCGCCGGTCGTCGACTGAGCCGGACCGGCCGGCGTCGGCACCGGCGCCGGAACAGTGACCCCAACCGCTGCAGGCGGCACGCGGCGCCGGTCCGTGACGCCGGTCGGACCTTATCGACCGTGCGGCCCGGCAGCGCCCGTCTGCTGCTGAGCAGCCCCCGCCAGTGTCGTGATCGCGAGCCATGGCTGGCAGGCGCCGGTCGGCGCGCCTTGCCCCAGGGAGCGCCGAGGACGGCCGTCCGGACGCCAAGCGGGCGCGCCGGCCGCCGGCCGCCGCCCGAGCCGGACCGGCCGGCTCCTCCGAGGTGCGACACGCGGGGCTCGCCGTATGCAGTGCTCCCTCGGGCTCATGACGGTGTTGGCGGGCTGCGTCAAGGGTCAGGCGGACGCTTGAGCATTGGTCTGGTGCGATTGGTTGGGAGGCTGATACAGACTAACTGTGCCCGTTAATGGATGGGGTTTCACGTATTTCGATTGACTGATCTTAGGTTGCAGTACTCTCCAAGGGCCGCCGCTGTCCTCGGCCATTCTCCCCCGTCGACCATCGACTCGTGGCCGTCAGGCGACGCTCGCAGCCCGTGCGGGCGCTCTTACCCGTCACCCTCCCACCACCAGGCACGCTCGGACTCGTCCCCCAACAAGGACAAGGGCCTGACGCCTGGCTCGCCAGCGACCGTGCGGCAGGAGCTGCGCACGCTCTGCTCGTCCCTGCCCGTGCTGCACCCGGCCATAGGACTCAGCTGGTACAAGGCGCTCAAACCCGAGTTCGGAAAGCCCTACTTCAAAAAGGTACCGCCCAGCGCCGCTCCGGTGTCGCACATGGGTATCCTTCAGGCTTGCGAACAGCCCCACGCGGTGTCTGTGCACTGCTTTGTTCCGCCATAGTCTGGTTTGGGCTTATGTCAGGGCGTGGTACATCTCGTGCTGGGATGATGCAAACATTACCAGCTGTTAAGACATTCTAGATGTCGTACGCCCGCACGTACGCCCGCACGTACGCCCGCACGTACGCCCGCCCGCCCGCCCGCCCGCCCGCACGCACGCACGCACGCACGCACGCACGCACGCACGCACGCACGCACGCACGCACGCACGCACGCACGCACGCACGCACGCACCCACGCACGCACGCACGTTCGCTCGCTCGCTCGCTCGCAGATGTATTATATATATATATATATATATATATATATATATATATATATATATATATGCGTGTTTTATTAAAAAATCACAGTGGACTCCGTATCAGTGATCTTTTTGGATGTTTTCTCTAGGAACGATACTCATCCGCAAATGGGAAGCTCTAATTCATAAACAAACAAATCTGCGTGTAACGCTCCATCTGTATGGAGGGTCACCATCAGGGCGCACAGCACCGGAACATGAAGTGTTTTGTGTATCGCGGATGAGCGCTGTTGCATGACAGTGATGAACATATGTAATGCGTGGACGTGTATGTTTGTACTGTGACATGTATATAGTATGTTTGCGCTCTACCAGCATTAAAAAAACAAAAAAACGGTGTCTGGGCATGAGCTCCATGTTGAATAGTCAACGGAAATTACGTGAATATATATATATATATATATATATATATATATATATATATATGTATATATATATATATATATATATATATATATCATATATCATATATACTCTTGCGTAAGCATTACATTGCACTCTGGTAACGTAGTGGTCATTACAATGATTAGCTTTCCGGCTGCGAATTTTCGGCTGGTATGTTTTCACACCACCTGGCTGGCGTGAGCAGGCACGTTCCGCAGCACCGCTGGTGGCGCCACCTTCGCCTCGTGATTTGTGGACGGTGGTGACACCTGTGGTGATGCGCGTACGACATACCCGGCAGCTGAGTGACTTCGTGTGCGCGGAGCGGCAGCGCCACACGGTGTTCCCGCGCCACGAGCACGTATTCTCCTGGACGCTGGGCGAGACCAGTGACGTGAAAGTGGTTATCCTCGGCCAGGACCCGTACCATGGACCTGGACAGGCACACGGTGAGGCTGCGATGGCGACCTCAGACTCAAATAGATCACGGCCAGCTACGCGGGCAGCCTATGGTCACGATGAAGGGATGAGGGGGAGGGGAGGCGGGGATAGCACAGACGAGGTCGTCAAAATAATCTGTCCGCAACACAGAAGACTTATATTGCATATGTTATGCGTATTTACGTGTTAGGTTTGAAATGATGCCGTGCGGGAATTGCAGATTGTCTTCATTACGCTAGTTGTGCCATGCGCTGTGTGTGTATGAACATACGACCATGCATCTATTTCACGGACAGTGCATGCACTGCGGAAAGTGTACCAAAAAGTAATCTCTGCAGGAGGAGAAAATTACGCACGCACGCACGCGCACGCACGCGCACACACACACGCGCACACACGCACGCGCACACACACGCGCACACACGCGCACACACACGCGCGCACACACACACACACACGCGCACACGCACACGCACACGCACACGCACACGCACACGCACACGCACACGCACAGGCACAGGCACACACACACACACACACACACACACACACACACACACACACACACACACACACACACACACACACACACACACACACACACACACACACACATACCGCGCCGGTACGCACACACGCACACGCACACGCACACTCAGAGGACCGGGGATGTTGTGGCGCAGTATTGGCTGCCGTGTCTGCCGTACGGCAGCCGATCCCACCACACCGGCGCGTGCTCGCCGTAACCGGGCCTGCCTCACCTCCGTCCGGGCGGCAGGCCTCTGCTTCAGCGTGCAGCGCGGCGTGGCGCCGCCGCCCAGCCTGCTCAACATGTTCAAGGAGCTGGAGTCGGACGTGGAGGGCTTCCGACGGCCGGGCCACGGCTGCCTGGCCGGCTGGGCGCGCCAGGGCGTGCTGCTGCTCAACGCGTGCCTGACGGTCCGCAGCGGACAGCCCAACTCGCACAAGGACATGGTGAGCGACCTCGGTGACGACTGTAACGGACAGCCCAACGCGCACAAGGACATGGTGAGCGAGCTCGGTGACGACTGTAACGGACAGCCCAACGCGCACAAGGACATGGTGAGCGAGCTCGGTGACGACTGTAACGGACAGCCCAACGCGCACAAGGACATGTTGAGCGACCTCGGTGACGACTGTAACGGACAACCCAACGCGCACAAGGACATGGTGAGCGACCTCGGTGACGACTGTAACGGACAACCCAACGCGCACAAGGACATGGTGAGCGAGCTCGGTGACGACTGTAACGGACAACCCAACGCGCACAAGGACATGGTGAGCGACCTCGGTGACGACTGTAACGGACAGCCCAATGCGCACAAGGACATGGTGAGCGAGCTCGGTGACGACTGTAACGGACAGCCCAACGCGCACAATGACATGGTGAGCGACCTCGGTGACGACTGCAGTGAACAGACCAGCTCGCTTAAGAACATGGTGAGCGACCTCAGTGACGACTGCAGCGAACAGACCAGCTCACTTAAGAACATGGTGAGCGACCTCAGTGACAACTGCAGTGGACAGTCCAACGCGCACAAGGACATGGTGAAAGACCTCAGTGCTTACTGCAGCTGACACACCTGCTCGCTTAATGACATGGCGAACGAGTGCAGTGACGACTATAGGACAGGCAGACCAGCTTGCTTGAGGACATGCAGAAAGATTGCGGTGACAACTGCAGGACAGGCAGACCAACTGAAGAGCGCTGGTAGGGTGTAGCTTACGGTACATGAGACTCCTGTGGCTGTAAGGTTCGCGATCTCTTGCCGATCATGGCGAAGTGATTCGCGGCACACCTGGTAGGAAGTCTTGACTTCACCTTCCGCGTTTGTGGGCCCGGAGCGCTTGTAATGTGTGAGATAAAATTCCAATGCTATGTTACATATATTCGAGCATTAGGCCGATAATACGAATAATTTCATCCTACAAGGAAACACAACCACTAGGGCCTTTACACGCAGGTTGCGTTTATCAATGATTCGCAAAATAGGACACGGATATCAGACGCACATAACGCAATGAGTTTGGCATACTAAATCGCAGCCACAGTTCTGCTTTCCGTAAAAGGAGTGGAAATCATGAAGGTACATTTCCACGCACATTTCATTTTACGTATCGTGCTATCGCGTTTAAGGGTGCACCATAGTCCCTACGTAGAAAATTACGTGGGCTATGTCGGTTTTCGCAATACGATATTACCGATTGAGTACCGGCTGAAGGACTCACACCACTGAGCAACTGCAGCACACAGTCCGACTGGGGGACCGTGAGAGCGGTCCCAGCAATCAGCTGCGATGAGAAGTGCATGTAGCCCGCATTACTTGCATGCACAGGACTGCGTGCGCTGGTTAGAAACTCTGTATGTTGTTTGGTACTCTCGTAACTCTGCCAGAAAATGGAGGGACTCATTGGCAGTTGGTGCTGTTATGGTTTTCATGGCCACGAGACAATCACGCCGCACGCGAACGGTGAGAGCATTGGCATACATGGTACTTTATCGTTTTTCTTCTGCAGCGACTGGCGTCTTGTTCAGGTGGTGTCTGACATCTCTTGCAGGGCTGGGAACAGCTGACGGATGCTGTCATCCGGCATATCAGCACCAACCTCGAGCACGTCGTCTTTCTGCTGTGGGGCTCCTATGCTCAAAAGAAAGGATCTCTCGTGAACAAAGTATGTTGGATACTCCTTGCTTTGCGGCTGTCTGATTGCGCTTCGGCTGGTGTGGTTCCGGAACGTATATATATATATATATATATATATATATATATATATATATATATATATATAATATATATATATAATGTTCCACCAATTGTAAACGCTACCGGATGTACGCCGCCTTGGATTATTGCCTCAACGCCGGATGCACTGCCTCGACGCTATTGACGAGCCCTGCGGCCCAATTATTTTGTGGCCTCCGCGCTCTGAATGCCCGCATTCACTCGACGGTCGTAGACGGCTGCCGCCGCCTGTCGGTGCGACGCGCTTTACGCGCGCCTGACGTCCGACCAGCTGTCGGGCGTGTGTCGCAGTGTCACCTGGTATGAGCGGTATTGTCACCGGGCGTGAGCCGTAGTGCCACCGGGTGTGAGCCGTAGTGTCACCGGGTATGAGCCGTATTGTCACCGGGTGTGAGCCATAGTATCACCGGATGTGAGCCGTAGTGTCACCAGGTGTGAGCCGTAGTGTTACCGGGTGTGTGCTGTGGTGTCACCGAGTGTGAGCCGTATTGTTACCGGGTGTGAGCCGCAGTGTCATCGGGTGTGAGCCGTACTGTCACCGGGTGTGAGCCGTAGCGTCAACGGGTGTGAGCCGTAGTGTCATTGGGTGTGAGCCGTAGTGTCACCAGGTGTGAGCCGTAGTGTCACCAGGTGTGAGTCGTAGTGCCACCAGGTGTGAGCCGTAGTGTTACTGGGTGTGAGCCGCACTGTCACCGGGTGTGAGCCTTAGTGTCACCAGGTGTGAGTCGTAGTGTCACCAGGTGTGAGCCGTAGTGTCACTGGGTGTGAGCCGTAGTGTCACCGGGTGTGAGCCGTAGTGTCGCTGGGTACGAACAGCAGTGTCACCGGGTGTGAGCCGTAGTGTCACTGGGTGTGAGCCGTAGTGTCACCGGGTGTGAGCCGCAGTGTCGCTGGGTACGAACAGCAGTGTCACTGGGTGTGAGCCGTAGTGTCACTGGGTGTGAGCCGTAGTGTCACCGGGTGTGAGCCGTAGTGTCGCTGAGTATGAACAGCAGTGTCACCGGGTGTGAGCCGTAGTGTCACTGGGTGTGAGCCGTAGTGTCGCTGGGTACGAACAGCAGTGTTACCGGGTGTGAGCTGCAGCATCACCGGGTGTGTGTCGCAATGTCACCGGGCCAGTCATGCGCGCTGTGTCCCGGCGACACGCGGCGCGACTCCGGGGAGTGGCTGTCCGCCGCCGGCCCGGTGGTGACTGATGGCGCCGGCCCGGTCCGCTCGGCCGCGCTGATGACGCCACTAAATGGACCCGCCAGCGGCACGGGAAGGGCGCAGAGAGGCCCGTGCGAGCCGTGCCGCCACGCCCTCCGACCACACGGCCGATCCCGGAGCACGGACGGCGCGACAGCACCCGCGCCGCGGCGCGGCTATCCCCAGGGCTCGGCAGGAGTGCGGGCACGTTGACGTTGATTTCAGAACTGCAGGCTCGAAACATCGCCCCACTGGTGCCCAGCACACATGTTTCGGCCCGCTTGGTTTGACTTTAATCGCAGTCGGCGTTTTGTTCTTCGAGCTTTTCCTGATGCGACTTTTACCCGTATCGTCCCTCACTCCGTTTTGCTTTTTATCCGTTGGCTTTTTCCTTTTCGACCGTAATCTCGCCCGGCTTTTATCTCTTTTGCCTTTTTGCCCTCCGGTACTTCAATTAGAATTTTATCCCTATCGACTGTTGCCGTTCGACTTTTTGTTCGAATGCCAGCTGGGGAGGAACATAATGCAAACTCGACTACCCACTCTTGAGTGTGAGCCCGTCATGCCCAATGACTAGGCTTGTATGTAAGGTGTTGCGATGCGGGATTCGTCCCGGCATAGCTTCGGTATTCGGATCAAATGTGGTTATCGACTACTGTTTCCAGCTTTGGAATGGGCTATAAATGTGCGGGCCCGGAGTGACGCCCAATGCTCATGTTAGTAGCAACCTGAGCGGGGGTTCTTCATCCGAAACGATGCTATGTTCGGAGCGAGGACGGCGCCATTATTACCTGCGCTGCCGCGCCTGTGGCTGGGCGATAAGGCCTCCTGTGGCATCGTTTTCTTTCCCCGAGATCAAATAACACGTAGCTTTTCCATTGCAGCAGCGCCACCACATTCTGACATCGACCCATCCGTCGCCGCTGTCTGCGCACCGGGGCTTTCTCGGCTGCCGCCACTTCTCAAAGTGTAACGAGGTGAGCGCGCCATTGCCCACTGGACGTCTCTTGTGTGCTGCGCTAATTAGGCCTGCACGCGTGTCGGCGACCGCTCCCCTGTCGGCGGGTTATAACCTCCGGTTTACCTCACACCGCTGCGCGTCGTTTGCGTGGATTTCTGCAGGCGTACGGCAGGCGCCCTAGCGTTTCAGTAACGCGGCTGGGAAACTCACGGGCGGCGTCGGACCGCGGCTAGGCGTCTGCTCCAGGGCAGAAACCTGGCGGGGACGGCTGTCCATGTCGGGTATTGATTCGTCGGCGGACGCATTGAGTGCAACGGAGTGCGTTTGTTCTTTGCTGCACAAGCGATGTTGCACAAGCGGTACAAAAATATCACTTCGTTGCCAACAGATATCATGTTCTGTTCGAAAGTACCTGATTTGGCCCTACCGGGCAATCAATCGCGCGGGGGTGCGGGGTAGCCCGTGCTATTACGCGAGCATGTGCGCAAGACGCGTATAAGACGACGCATATACGCGTAGAAGCAAGTTGGTCTTACAAAACGGCCGGGGTATTCGCCCATGCCGCGACAACCGCTTTTGATCACTGGCTCGACAGAGGACGTTTTTCGTGAAATCGGCTTATATGGATGCTGCTGGCACGATTCAACGTAACATGGGTCCGACAAGGGGCCGAGGGCCGTCACATAAGCGACCACCACCGCGACTCAACGTTCCTGGCAGCTCTGGCGGCTAGAGAATCGCGACAGTGCGCAGGCAGTCGTGCCAATCGGCAAAGTACCGAGCTGGCGCCGTACTGTGGGCGCTCCGAACGGCCCCTGTCGCGGCCGCCCGCGGCGGCAGCACCGGCCAGTTATGTAGTCAGGATCTATGCCTGGGTTGTGAGCGAAAACGGCTGACGTGGGCCGTGTTCGCGACACAGGACGTCAGGCCTGCAGTGTTGACGACACAGGACGTCGTGCCTGCAGTGTTGGGACACAGGACGTCACGCCTGCAGTGCTGGGACACAGGACGTCGTGCCTGCAGTGTTGGGACACGGGAGGTCATGCCTGCAGTGTTGGGACACAGGGCGCCATGCCTGCAGTGTTGGGACACAGGACGTCATGCCTGCATTGTCGGGACACGGGACGTCGTGTCTGCAGTGTTGACGACACAGGGCGTCATGCCTGCAGTGTTGGGACACAGGACGCCATGCCTGCATTGTTGGGACACAGGACGTCGTGTCTGCAGTGTTGACACAGGACGTCATGCCTGCAGTGTTGGGACACAGGACGTCGTGCCTGCAGTGTTGGGACACAGGACGTCATGCCTGCACTGTTGGGACACAGGACGTCATGCCTGCATTGTTGCGACACAGGACGTCGTGTCTGCAGTGTTGACGACACAGGGCGTCATGCCTGCAGTGTAGGCGTCAAAGGACGTCATGCCTGCAGTGTAGGCGACACAGGACGTCATGCCTGCAGTGTTGGTGACACAGGACGTCATGCCTGCAGTGTTGGCGACACAGGGCGCCATGCCTGTAGTGTAGGCGACACAGGACGTCATGCCCGCAGTGTAGGCGACACAGGACGTCATGCCTGCAGTGTTGGCGACACAGGGCGCCATGCCTGCAGTGTTGGTGACACAGGGCGCCATGCCTGCAGTGTAGGCGACACAGAACGTCATGCCTTTGTACCGTCATGTGAAGACGGCAGTATTGTTGTGTGACGCCGCTCCCTGGCGCTGAGCCCCGGACTGACCCGCTCCGGCTCCGGCAGCTGTTGACCCAGCACGGCCGCGCGCCGATCGACTGGAGCAAGCTGCCGCCCGAGTGAGAGCTGCGGGAGGACGCGGCAGCGCTGACGTCACCTAGGGAGCGGTGGCGTCGTGACGTCACCAAGGGATCCCGACGTCAACGCCGTGCGTGCGGCGTTTGTCAACCGGGGACGGCCGAGCGCCCACCCCGGGGTCGAGTGACCTCGAGTTCGGAGTGGGCCGGTGCCGGCGCCGGGTTACAGTCCGCCTCGTTTGACCAGAGTAAGACCCGGGTACAAACTGAAGGTTGGGGAGGGGAGGGGAGGGAGGGGAGTACGCCGGCGTGCGTAAGCCTTGATCCACTGGATACCGTACAGGCCATATGCAGTGCTCGTCTACCACGTGTGCTTACTTTGCCACGTCTGATTTGTTCATCTTGCATGGTATCTCCGTGAGCTTTGATCCAGCGCTGCTGTGTGGGCGGCGATCTTGCTTCGCTGACGAGGCACGGCCCAGCGCCCGTCTTGATACGCTCAATGGCTACGGGTCAGCGGAGCAGCTGAACGTTATTCGATGTGTTTTGATGCCGCGGAACTGAGTGTTTTTTTTTTGTGCTGATGGAGTTCAAGTGTGACGCCTGGGTAGATCGAGAATGAACACGTTTTTAGATGTTATTTGACATTCTATCGCAACGCAAGAGGGTATAGAGTTGCAGGCGGGGATAATATGCCGCTTTCAAGTGATGAGCGTTTATAAGGAAAAGCACGGGAAAATGAAGGCAAGCTACATTGAAGAGAAAGGCTCAGTTTTGCCAATGCGTGTTCTCAAAAGTGGCAGGAAGCTATGTTCGGAACCAAACATTATCTATAGCTTCAAGTTTTAATCCCGGCATAATTTTCCACGAAAATGCCACATATTAACGTAGGCATGCTACGTGGGCTCAGTACGATCAACCAACCGATGCGCCCAAAAGCCGAGCTGACCGCCTCAGTGCCATTGTGATCTGGGTGCGTGGACCGGATAAACCTTACTTGAACCAAATGGTTATGTCCGACACGGTTAAACTTCCAGATTATGTCCGACGCGTCCGTCGCACCTTTTCACAGCCTGATAAATTTGCAGCCGTTGGTCCACGCGGTTTTCGACAACCGTTGACATTTTACGGAGGTTTTCCCGTCACGTGTTGGAGGGCATTGCATGCAACTTGTTTAACCAGACGTGATCTTCGTGTGACGTTGCAAAATAGCCGAGGCTTAGCACCGCCATTAATTAACACGGAAAATGGAAAATTTGCGAGTTGCGAAACTTGACGCGACGCGGGTGGAAGCCCGCTCCATGTCCCAACAGCCCGCGGGCGACGCCGTTTCACCATGAATTGCCGACATTGACAGACGGGTGAGCGGCCACCTGCTGTGGATAGGCCACCAGCGATTGTGCGCAAACTGTAAATCCGCCATTTTTAGTACGCTAGGTGTCTGAATTTGTTGCAGAGTATTTAAACCTGGTTTGTGATGTGAGGGAATGTATTTGCCTGCTACGCTGTCCGATCCTGTCGCTTCCTGCGGTCTGGGCACGGACACCATCCATTGGATCAGCTGGGAAGGAATCTATGCGACATTTTTTTTTTCGAGCGTGCATCACGAAGGATGGTGTAATGCAAACCATAAAGGTGAACAGCTGATGAAGCTGTGAGGGATATCCACCAATACACTTGCCCGTTTTGTCAATTCTTAGGCCGTAGTGCAAACAAACGATTGTGAATGTATAGATTCGTCGGCAAAGATGGTCGCTGACTGGGTATATCACCTGCAGGTTTTGGAGCGATTTTTGTTGTAAGTTAGCACGAGAGTGCTTTAATGGTCAATAGTGTGGCAACTGGTGAGCGCGTCTGTCTGCTCTCATTGAGGACGGGCGGTGGACTCCAAATGACATTCGCATGGGTTCCAATTGCTACCGACTCTTCTCGCCCCTTTTTTTTGTCATCACGATAGTGCTTACCTCCACGAATTCGCCAGATTTGGTCCTGCGTGGCACTATTGTGCCGCGTGACCCAGTTCCATTCCAAGTGTGAGGGCTCGAGCGGAAGCCAGCGCCGCTCGTTCTCCGGTGATAGCTGGATTTCCTGGCGTGTATGCTAATGCACGCCTCGGATCCGGGCTCCACTAAAGTGATTAAGCGCCTCCGAGCGTATCCTGCCTGCCTCCGGCGTCGCGAAACTTTTAAATAAGCCAGACTGCATGTACTGCGAATCTGTGTGGGCTCCGCCCCTGGCTGTCTCAGCAGTCGGCAGCGGCCGGCGTGCGTTCTATTCACCTCAAGCGCTGCCACCCGCGCGCAATCGGCCGCCGATCCGCAGCCTGTCGGGGCGGCCACAGCCGGGGCCCTGCGCCGCCTCTGGCCCGCGGCAGGCGCGCGGGGGCGGCGGCCTGCGCGGGCCGTGCCAGGCGCCCCCGCCGAACGGCCCGTCCCGGCTGGCGACCTGCCCATACCAATCACGTAATGATAGGGCGCCAGCCGCCGGTACTAGGGCATCATTCCGAGCAGACGGCGGTCGATATGCGTCACCCTCTGTCGCCCTGCGCCGCCCGCGCGCTGGCCGAACCCTTATCGCCGCCGACTGCTCCTCGGCCAATAAAGGGTCAATCGGGTTGGATGCGCGCAGTTGCAAGTTCGGCCGCTGGGCGGCGCTGCCGGACGGAGTAATTCGGCTCGCGGAGCGCAGAGTGGAATTTCACCGCGTGTCGCCGTCGACGTGGGCCGTCGACACAGGCATTGTTTCGGCTCTAGCAAGCTAGAAATTGAATGAAGTGGACGGCGGGAGGCTCGCCGGCGGACGCGCTTTAGCGAGTGTCTGCAGGCAACGACTCTCCCTCTTCGGAGAAATGACGTCAGCTGGCCCCAGCCCTCCCAAGGGCCGAGAATCGCAGCCTTTTTCTCTTCCCAGCTTTTTGAGTGGCGTAGAGTTGTTCCAATGATGACTGCAGCTGTTGGCTGTTCAATAATGATATCCGCAGATTCGTGAGTCGATTGTGTGCCCTCGGTAGGGATGCATGCCGTAACGTTCGAGAATCCCGTAGAACTGCCCGCCACGGCGTTGTCTTCTGTGGCTTTGTTGTTGTCATGCCGCACGCTCCGTCGCCCGCAAGCTACGTCACGGCCAATGTCGGTGTTGGACCCGGGGGCCATGGCTTTGGAGCCGTGGCTCCAAAGCCTCGGCTCCAAAGCCATAGCTCGATCCCGGGTAGCACGTCTCGAGAAGGCGGCGCAGGAGATCCGGGCCACCTCGCACTCCGTCACGCGCCTTCCGGGATTGGCACGCATCCAGCTATCCACCGCATTGTTGCAGGCACTTCAGCAACTTCAATACCGCTACATCCAGCGGTTGCATGCGGTGAGTTGAGTCCGGTTGAAGTGTGATTATTGTCACGCCGTTTTCCCGAACCAGCCCGACAACTCGAGCGGCCTATGATGGTCATCGAGGATGATGACGTGCTTGCCCTCCGTTGGTGGCTTCACCACAGACATGAAGTGGTGAAATCACATCAGGAAATCTGATCGGTCCAGCCAGACTTCGTGTAGGTGCCCACTGAGCCTGACGGCGCGCCGTTCATCAGACTTGGCAGTGATAGCTTAAACGTTCATCTTCATCCTACCGCAGATGAAGACTGGAGGTAAGTACGCGTCAGCAGCGTTGCACCCACATAAAACAGTGGACGCTCTGTTGCGCTCTCCCCCGTTCGTTTTGCTCACTTTTTACACCTTTACTTTACTTAGGCTTCTTTACGGTAGTCACACCGGTCTCATCCATGTTCCAAATTGACATTGGACCGTATTCAACGCCGTTCAGCACTGACCCGGATGCTCCCAAGGATTAAACCGACGGCTCGGGTGATGCTGGCTGCCTCGAGACTTCTAGTTGCCAGCGCTGCACGACGACGCAACAAGCGCTGCAGCCAACTTTTCCTATCCATCCTCGCTTTCTTGTCGAGTCGGACTTTGAGGCTCATCTTTTCAGCAAGCTCGCATGCTTCACACCACACGGCCGAAGGTGTGCGCCCAAAAAGGAGCTTCTCCAGTTCTTTGGTCTTGTAGATCCATTGTTTCTCCGTTTCTTTAGGAATATGCGATGATCATCCGAGACATCCTGACGCCTCCACCTTTTTTGTCTCGGAGACGATGCAATTTTTTCTCGGTATCTTGTACATCTTGAAGACCTTGTGCCGGGAAGATCAACTGCGGATGGCTTGAAGAGTTTTCACGAGGCTATCGTGGCCCTCCGCCCCCCCCCCCCCCCCCCCCCGATGTCCTAGCTCTCGATCGGGCCATAGGACTAGTCTGAAAATGACAGATGGAAAAAGATTAGGAAATGGGGGAAAAGTAGGATGATAAGCGGTTGGAAGGTTGCTGTGACAGTGGGTTGGGTGGATGGCGGAGTGTGCTGTGTAGTTGTACGATCGGAAATTGATCCACGCGTGGGTGGGGTGAGAGTTAGATTAAACATTTATTTTCTCCCTAAAGGAAGACAATGGTAGCATGTAGCATCGCTAAATTTTGAGTAGGTAATCTTAGATCATGTCTGTGCTGTTAGACACAAAATCCGCGAGAATTGCCGGATTATTACGAACATATTTCATGAAAATGCACCTTCAACGGTATTTGCACACCTTAATCCTTCATTTCGGAGCGTAACACAATCGTTTAAGAAATGCTAGATGGGCTGCAAAATATAGAGATAAAGGCTTTCTCAAAGCAATGTTTTACAAAAATAGTTTTGGTGAATTTGAAACTGCAATAGGTCATAAGGTAAATGTCCAGTGTCAAATAGCCATTGGGGACGAACGCCCCATGGGTTGTGTTTCCCCATCGATGCGGGGCATCTTTCTCACCCGTACCGAAATTACTTCAAGTGTAACGAGCGGAAATTAGACAATCGTGACGTAGTGACAAATAACATCGCAAACGAGCGAAATATACGAAAATCTGGAACCCAACGTCCAACAATAGGCAAACACGCTATTTTATCAGATATTTCCAACGTTCTTGGTCTATTTATCCTCCGGAAACGTCGAAAAAACAAAAATGTACTAGTTGTCTGGCTCCTGGTTGCATGGCGTGACCGAACTTTTTAAAAGTAAACAAAGATGTCTTCCGCTTCAGATCAAGAATTTAATAGTTGTGCTGTGGTTTTTAGACCAGACAACAAGAGGATGGGGCGTCTTAGCCACCGGGGCATCCTACCCCAGTCTCCCCTACATCCCGTTCATACGATCAGGTTTTAGTGGCTTTCAGGCGGGTAATTTTGCAAAAGAAGTTCGGTGGGTGAGCAGCGAAAAAAGTTTAACCTTCCTCCCAAATGTACTTCAAAACGGACTTTCTACGAATATGGCCCACTTTCTCATCAAATGGGGGGGGGGGGGGGGGCTGGAGTCCCTTGTTCAATTGAAAAGGATGTAATTATTCCGGTTACTTTCGTAGTCGATGACATATAACGCGATTCCCACAATTTGGTGCCTTTGTTTTATAAGCAAGAGGATGTGGGCATGAAGGGCTGAGGCTGCAGTGTAAGAAATCACATTCCTTATTTTGGCGTCACGATATTCCTAATTTGTATCAAATAAATAGCATAGATCGTAGCGATCTGAAGAATTGCAGCTTGTAGGAACGCCACCAGAGGTCAATCAAGGTCCGAATTCGTAAGATGCTGTTCGAATTGGGACTGAAAAGTATCATTTTTTGTGGTT